GAATACAGAATGAAGCATACTATTTTTCACTTTCTTTTTCTTTCTTTCTTTCTGTTCAAGTTTTCTTATACAAAATGACTAATATGGAAATATGTTTTACATGATTGCACATGTATAACCTGTATGAGATTGCTTACCATCTCAGAAGGGGGGAAGGAAAAGAAGGAGGGAGAGAATTTAGAACTCAATTTTTAAAAAATGTTAAATATTGTTTTTGTGCGTAATTGGGGGAAAATAAAATAATTTTTAAAAATTAATAGATCAGGGGTGCAGGTAGGTGGCACAGTGGATAGAGCACCAGCCCTGAAGTCAGGAGGACCTGAGTTCAAATCTGACCTCAGACCAAATACTTGACATGTACTAGCTGTGTGACCCTGGGCAAGTCATTTAACCCCAATTGCCTGAAAGCAAAAACAAAAAAAAATTAATAGATCAAAAAACATACATTCCAGTGACATCTCATGCCTTTAACTGTTATTTAAATGTATTGTTGTTATATAATGTTTGCTTATATTTTGTCTCCCCTACTTCATGGTATTGCCATTGTGGATAGCTCTGTATAGTACATAGAAGATACTCATCAAAAACTTGCTTTTAAACTTAATTCAGTGGCACAGTCAATGTGGGATATGTTAACTTAAAAGGGGAGAGAGGTATTCAGATGAAGTCATAAAAGAAATCCTCTCCCTCCCCAGCATTATTAGCTGTGTGACCATGGGCAGGAAGGTCACTCAAACTCACTTAACCTCAGTTTCCTTATATAAAAAAAAAATTATAACTCTAGTACTTACCTCACAGATTTCAGAGCAGGCTGAAAAGAGATAATGTATGTAAAACACTTTGCAAACCCAAAGTGCTATAAATAAGCATTTAATAAGTACCTATATATTCCAGGCACTGTTTTAAATGCTGGTAATACAAAGAAAGGCAAAAGACATCCCCTACCCTCAAGAAGCTCATAGCCTAATAGGGGAGACAATATGCACACAAGATATATATGGAATTAACTGGACATCATCTCAGAAGGAAGGCACTAACATTAAGGGGTATTGGGAATAACCTGTTTTTTAAAAATAGTATTTTTCCCCAATTATATGTAAAGACAATTTTTAACATTCACTTTTTTATAAAATTTTGAGTTCTAAAATTTCTTTCCTTCCTTCCCTCCCCTCTCCCTAAGGCAGTAAGCAATTTGATGTGTAAGTTAAATATGAGCAATCATGTAAAGCATATTTCCATATTAATCATGTTATGAAAGAAGAAACAGTTTGCAAAAAAATACAGTTTGCAAGAGGAAAAATACAAAAAATAAAGTGAAAATTGTATACTTTAATCTGCATTCAGACTCCATCAGTTCTTTCTCTAGATGTGGATAGCATTTTCTGTCATGAGCCTTTTGGAATTGTCTTGGATCATTGTATTGCTGAGAAGAGCTAAGTCAGTCATAGTTGATCATCACACAATGTTGCTATTACTGTGTACAATATTCTCCAGGTGTTGCTCACTTCATTATGCATCAGTTCATGTAAGTCTTTCCAGGTTTTTCTGAAATCTGCTTGCTCATCATTTCTTATAGCATAATAGTATTCCATTATATTCACATACCACAACTTGTTCAGCCATTCCCCAGTTGATGGGCATCCCCTCAATATCTAATTCTTTTCCACCACAAAAAGAGCTGCTACAAATATTTTTGTACATGTAAGTTCCTTTCTCTTTTTTATGATCTCTTTGGGATACAGACCTACTAGTGGTATTGCTGGATCAAAAAGTATAAACAGTTTGATTGCCTTTTGGGCATAGGGGAATGGCCTCTTATAGAAGGTAGGATTTTAGGTTAGACTTGAAGGGATCCAGAGAAGCCAGGAGGAAGAGAAAAAGAGAGAAAACATTCCAGGCATGGAGGATAGTCAGTGAAAATGCCCAGAGTTGGGAGATAACATATGGTATGAGAAGAACAGCAAGGAGGCCAGTATCACTGAATTATAGAAGGATTGAGATAACACGCAAAGCATTTATTTGCAAACCTTAAAGTGCCATAGAAATGTTTGTTGTCAGTGATCATTGTTGTTGTCGTTACTGACAGTTGTTTTCAATAAAGGTAGTTGAAGTCCAGTTTGTGGAGGGCTTTGAATACCCAATGGTGAGTTTTATTTACTCTTGGCCTTTTGAGGGGTTGTAGGGAGTGCCAAGATGAAAGATGTGCTTTGGGGCACTTAATCTGGGAGAAATGGGAATTATAGGTTAGGAGGAGGAATATGGAAACAGGTCAGATAGGAAGCTGTTAGAGTAATCTAGGCGTGAGATGAAGATCCTAGCCTAGTTTGGGGGCATGGAAATGGGAAAAAAGGGAGAGGTGGGAGAGCCAATTCTACTAACTCACTATGTGACCTTGGGCAATTCACTTGACTGTATGAAATACTTCCTCTGACAACCAAATGAAATAATAAATGTGAAAGGGTCTTGATGTATTAATTCTTAAAATGATATTATCCCCAAAATTTGATAGATGAGGAAACTAAAGGCTTCAAAAAGGCTTGGGACTTGCCCAACATTACATGGCTAGCAAGTGGTAGAGTCAAGATGTGAACCCAACTCTTTTGACTTCAAATTCAATACTCTTTCCATTACACGACAATTCCTATTTTTTAGTATCTGTCTTTTGTGGTTTAACCACATTTAGATGTGATGTAAGATGCTGCAATCTTACTGGTTTTATAACAAATAATCATCATTCCTGACCTCAAGGAATTTGTAACCTAGTTTAAAAGGCACATAAAAAGGAATGCTGGATTAGCAACCTAATGAACACTAATTTGGGAAGAATGTAAATATTAAAGGATTTGGCTAGTGAAGTCAAAGAAGCCTTCATGGAAACAGTGAGACTTACTAGATTTCAGGATTTAGACATAAAAACATTAGAGACTGTGTAGTATAACCATTCATTTTATAGATGAGGAATCTGAAATTCTGACCCAGTTAAGTCAAAGTCCTATTTACACATAGAAAGGAGCAGAACCAGAACTGGACACCAAATTCAGTGTTCTTATTCCTATACCTGGACACTAAAGAAGAAGTAGGATCTTGATTAAAAAGGAGAGGGGGCAGCTAGGTGGCACAGTGGATAGAGCTCTGGCCTTGGAATCAGGAGGACCTGAGTTCAAATCCAGCCTTAGACACATAACACTAGCTGTGTGACCCTGGGCAAGTCACTTAACCCCGATTGCCTCACCAGAAAAAAAGAGAGAGAGAGAGAATAGGAGAGCATGGGTAACTAAAAATGGAAATACCCAATAGTAGAGAGGCTGTGGAAGATTGTTGTTCTTGAATCGTTTCATGTCATGTCATGTCTGACTATTCCTGACCCCATTTGGGGTTTTCTTGCAAAGATACTGGAGTGCTTTGCCGTTTCCTTCTCTGTGTGGAAAGAGATATGGAAAGATGGGCACACTAATATACTTTTGACTTGGCCCAACCATCCTTAAAAGCCGATTTGTAATTATGCATTAAAAGTAACTAAAATATCTATACTTATTGATCCAAGGATCCTATTGCTAAGCATATACCCCAAGGAGAGGTCCTATATACATCCAAATATGTCTTAACAGCATTTTTTGTGGTAGCAATGAAAGAGAAAATGAATAGATGTCCATCAATAGAATGGTTAAAACTATAGTACTCGAATGTAAAAGAATGAACTATGCCTTAAAAAAAATGACCAATACAAAAAATTCAGAGAAGCAGGGGAATACTTATAAGAACTGAAGCAGGTTGAAATAAGTGGAACTAAAAATACGTGCAAGTCATTATAGTACAATGGAACAAGTACTAATTCTGTAATCAGAAGACATTAGGTTCAAATTCTACCTCCAGTGATTAACTACCTCTGACGTTGGGCAAGTCATTTAACCTCCATCTGTTTAAACATCTGTAGAGTAGATGGCCTCTGAGGGTCAACTCTATGATCCTATAATATATTTCAGTGGTTCTTCAGTCATTCTTCAGTTGTCCAACTCTTCTTGACCCCATTTGGGGTTTTCTTGGCAAAAGTACTGGAGAAGTTTCCTATTTTCTTCTCCAGCTCATCTTACAGATGAGGAAACTGTGGCAAATAGAGTTAAGTGATTTGCTCAGGATCACACAGCTAGGAATTATCTGAGGCCAGATTTGAACTCAGAAAGATGAGTCTTCCTAACTCCAGGCCCTGTACTCCGTCTACTGGGCCACCCAGCTGCCCCTTCCTATATAATATGTACAAGATGACAATAAAGTGGTTGGAAAAAACAATATCTCCCCCCCCCCAAAAAAAAAAAGGAAAGAAAGAAACCAAATGCTTTGTAACTATACTGACCAAGTGTCTTAGCCCTGGAAAAGTTAAGAGTTGTACCTCCCTGTAGGGGTTGGGGAACACAGGTGTAAATTATTGAATATACTTTTGGACTCAGTTGACTTGTTCATTGCCTTTGCTAAACTGCTTTTCCTTTTGTTGTTACAGTGGTTGGCTTACTGAGTGGGGACAATGGTGGTGTTGGAAATAAAGGTGTTACACATTAAAATAGATGAATACAATTTTTTTAAAAGGCTAGAGTGTAATGAATGATGAAGCAGATTTATAATCAGAAGGCCTGGGTTAAAATCCTGGCTCATATATTTAATTGTAATTTAAGTGACAAGTGGCATGTCCCCTCTCTAGATCTCAGGTTCTCAACTGTGAAAATGAGCATGTTGGGTTATATAAACTGTGAAGTCCTTTCTGGCTCTGTATCTGTGATTCTGTGCTCCTATGTATGACATCAGCAAAGGCACAAGGAGACAGCAATAAGCATGGCATAAGAATGAACTTTCCCGATCTCTTCTAACTCTCCAAGCTCTCTTCCCTTCAGCCTTATCATTCTTAAATTGGCTTACTGCATCTCTCCTCTCCCATAGGCAGTGGTAATATATCTAAGTGCCTGCTATGCCGCTGGTGATATTGAATCTCTCTCACTTTTATGTTTCAGCGGAGCCCCTGCCCCTAATGGACCTGTGCCGAAGATCAATTCGATTTGCCCTCAGTCGGGAACGCCTGCATGAAATAGAATCGCTGCCTTTGCCTCAGTCTCTGAAAAACTATCTCCAGTACCAGTAAGAAGCCTGAAGCCCTTCTGGACTCAAAATAGACTAAAGCAATGCACCCGGCACAATGAATTGTTTACATCAGAAGCAAAGTCTCAGTGGACACTTGACCATAATTTAATTTTTTAAAATATATATATATCTATATATGTATATGGGGTATCTCCCCCTTAAATCAGTTCAACAGGACAGTGTGGGAGCTGTTAGATAATGTGAACAATTGGGATTTGTTAACTGACTTTGGAAATAAATGTAAGTTGCCAACAGTGTTTGCCATCCTCAAAGGTGACCTCTAAAGCTGGGCACCTCAATAGGGAGCTTAGAGAAACCAGTTAGCTCCCTGCCTTGAGGCTTTGCCTAACCAACCAAGACAGGGAAGCTATCAGTGTATTGATTAAAAAGCATATTTTTAATTCAAAAGAATGAATAAAACATTTGGGCAGAAGACTTTCTATCCTGTGCCCTGGTTTCAAATATATTGAGGGTGATTGTACAGAGCAGGAACAAAAAAAGAAAAACAATTGCCTTTGAATAATGGATGATGAAAGCAGCTAAGTGCCAGTGTTCTAGTTATTCCCAAGCACAGGCCAGCTTCTTCCGAGCTCTGCATAATTTGTAAGGAGTACTGGTCACCATTTAGAGACTAGAGTGTGGTTCCTCTCTAGGGACTGAAAGGGCTAGCCTCCACAAAATCATTAAGGTGGCAAATTATTTTTGGCAGCCCTCCCCCCTCATACTCTTCTTTCCCTTTATTTCTCCCTTTTGAACCACCCCTCCCCCTATTTAAATACTAGTCCCCTACCTACTTCTTCTCTTGCAACCCCCTCACACCAGTCAAAGAGGAAGGAGCTAATAAACTCATCCTCATTATTTTCATCCCCCCGGGGGAAGTTTGGATTCTAAAAAGAAACCTGAGTGGGGCAATGCTGAACCCAAAGGAAAAAATGGTGGAATTTCAGCTTTGGCAGCTGTTGGGGTCGATATTTGGAGGCAAGAGTAGGAGGATGGGCCATCTCTATGACTCTCAAATCACATCCCCAAGGCCAGTGACCTGCCGACTTAAATATAGGGCCAGCCTTACAATCACATATCTTTATTAAAGTAAAGTATTATTTTTACTTTAAGTGAATTCTAAATTCTCAGCCTCCAATTTCTAACATATGCTAAAAGAATGTGTGTTCTATTGTTTATTTATCTGTTTGGGAACCTTGGGCCTCTTGTAACTAGAAGGATGAAATGTTTAAGGTATGTATCATCCTTCATTTTCCAAGCTCAGTCCATATATATATAATATACATATTATATATATTTTTAAGATGCTGCTTCCTATTTGCATTTCTTACATGTTTCAAATTATCTGCCTGGTCTAGTTTTTAACTGGAAATTGTTGTAATGGCGGGATGTCAAATATTCAGATGGAGCTGCCTTTGGCATTTTTAATGTGAATTTACTGATGAGTGAGAAGCGTTTCTAATAAAGTCTGCTGTTCAGTCTGTCAGTTGTTCCTTCTGTGGGTATGGCACTGGAAGAGGCATTTTGGTTAGCTTAGCTTGTTGAGCCCAGTGATAATAATAAAGGGGTTGGCCCCCTTTCAAAACAGTTAGTTTCGCTCCATTTGGTGTCTACACAAAATCTCAATGTCTTAACTCCCATCCGTTGCCCATAATCCAAGCCAAACTTGCTAATGCTTGACCTCATTCACAAAGATGAGGATAAGATTTCATATCAGTTACATAGTGTAAAACCATCCCTGCTACTAGGAAAATAATTCAAAGTGCATTCCCTTCTGATTATGAGTCAGAAACATTTTTTTTGGTATATAATTATAGAATGTCAAAACTGAGAGGGACCTTAGAGATAATCTAGTCCTAGGCCCTCATTTTCCAAGAAGGACACTGAAGATGTTTCATGCACTCTCCTTTCATCACCACCTCTTTGAATTCCTATCATTCTCCAAAGCACAACTCAGATGCCATCTCCTACATGAGGCCTTTCCTGAATGGTCCGAGTTATTAGCACTAACTCTTGAAATTACTTTCTATGTATGTACTTTACTTTTACTTTCTTATGGATGATGCTATATTCCCCAAGAAGAATGTCAGTTCGTTAAAGGCAGAAGCCATTTTATTTTTGTTTTTGCATACCTAACACAGTGCCTGGCACAGAGTAGGTATTTTATATAGTTGACCTGAATTTAATTGACTTGCCTGAGATCACATGAAAGATTCATGATATTAGTATTAGTTCTTCCACTAAGGTCCTACTCAGAGATGTCATCATAAGAGAGATGTCCTTGGATTCTTGAAGACTAGCTAGCTAGGAGGTGCATTGATAGAACACACACTTTGCCAAAATAAAGCCCGTGGACAAAATCCATGGAGGTCTCATAGAGTCAGACAAGACTGAATGAACAACTAGCAGATTCCATCAAGCAGGAAAGTCTTTGAGCTCTGGTCCAGTGATGGACTGTGTCTAAAAATAGTTCCTTCCATTTTAAAATAAGGTGGTATTGATAAAGATAAAAATGATTGGTGGATGATTTCAATCTTTTAAACTTGAGGAAATTAAGCTAGTGATTTATGTTCCTTTTGTATTAATATGCTACATCTTAGAGGAGATAGGGAATGGGGACTGAACCTGTGATTTCACTGGGACAAGGAACTCCCTGGATGCAGAAACTCCTTCTGTCAATGCAGATCAACACTTTCTCTTGTCATTTATAGTCTTAGAAAGTTGCCAGTAGTGCTAAGCAAGGACGGGGTATGACTGTAATGTCACTGGGAAATTGCAAGGGACAAAAAGGCTCTGAAGATAGCAACATGAAAAAGCCTGGTGGTCAGTGCTTACTTAGCACAGTTCCTGGCATGTAGTAGGTACTTAATAAATGTTTATTGATTAACCTGATTGACTAGCCAGCTCAATTCCCTTGATTTGAAAGAAAAAAAAAGATTTAAGAAGTCACATGAAATAATGACCAAGAAAGCCAGTGGAAAATACAGTATTCTATCCAGACCAGAACTACATGAGAAAATGACCAGAAACATTTAAGTACAAGGCAGGGAAAGGGGAAGTAAGCCAGACCATACTCAAACAGGCCTGAAGGTAGTGTACCTATTAGAGCAGGGCAGGAGACCAGGCTTGCCCAGTGGGGTTAGGGGTGGGGAGACACCCTAGCAGGGCCCTAGTCAGGGATAGGGCCAACTCGAAGGGTGATTACACAGCGGGAAAGGGGAAAAGACCAGGCCAAGGTCAGCATCCATACTGAGTTGCATGGGCCAAGAATAGCATAGCAGAGGGTGGGAACTGGCACCGGGCACTTCATCCAGAATGTCAGTCTCAGGGGCAGCTAGGTGGTGCAGTGGATAGAGCACTGGCCCTGGATTCAGGAGGACCTCAGTTCAAATGCAGCCTCGGACACATAACACTTACTAGCTGTGTGACCCTGGGCAAGTCACTTAACCCCATTGCCTAGCCAAAAAAAAAAATTGAATGTCAGTCTCAGTCATGCAGTGACATCCAGACTACAGAGGGACAACCAGAGAGGACCTGCCCAATTTATCCATGAAGAAAGGGAGGAGCAAAGCCTGGCCTTGGTACAGAGTCCCAATCCAGGAACTAAGAACAGAGATATTATATGAGTAAAGAGAAAATTCCAGATGCTAAGAGGAAATATGTGTTAAGAGAGGCCTAGGATAAACCCAAAAGAAGAGAGTAACTCTACAGTAAGTATAAATAGAACCTCAGAGCAAAACATGACTTGACCACAAGGACTTCAAGAGTGGCTGGAGGAAATGAAACAAGAAATAAAACAAATTTAGGGCTCCTGAGAAAAAATTGGAAGGAGAATAAAATAACTTAATATAGAAGATTAACAATCTTCCCAAGCAGTGGATGCCTTAAAAAAATAAAATGAAGCATACTAAACTCAATGATTACATAAAACAACGAGAATTATTAGTATAAAGTTTTGAGATTGAAAAATTGGGAGAGAATATAAGACACCTACTCTCGAACTAGAATACAAGTCAAAGCAAGATCATTTAAAAATCACTCAGTTCCCTGAAAACCATGACCAATAATAAAATATAGGTAGTATGTTTTTTAAAATTCACAAAAGAAAACTCCAAATCTATTAGAGTCAGAGGACAAAGTGAAAATAGAATCTACCAATCACCTTCTAAAAGAAATACCAAATTGAAAATGCCAAGTTACAGGGAAAATAGACAGTAAACTCTACTAATGGGAAGGCACAAATGTAACTTTGGGCTTATGATGGGAAACAGTGTGAGAAGAAGAGGGGGAGAGATTGACAGACACCTTAAAAGGACCCAATGGGGCAAACAGACCTTACAGAACAGAGGCACATAGGGAAGAAGCAAAAAATAAATTTTTTTAAGTTTTTAAAAATTTTTTATTTTATTTTTTGGCTAGGCAATGGAGTTAAGTGACTTGCCCAGGGTCACACAGCTAGTATTATGTGTCTGAGGCTGGATTTGAACTCAGGTCCTCCTTACTTCAGGGTTGGTGCTAGCTGCCCCAGATCCCCTCTTTTTGAATCAACAAACAACAAGCCATGGGGGCAGCTGGGTGAAACAGCAGCCTCGGCCTCAGGAACTTTCACCTGACACACAGTGTGGGAGTAAGATAGTTGAACGGGGGAAGATTGAAGGACTCACCACTGTTGCTGGATGTCAGGCCCAGATTTGCTGACCAAACATAGTCCTAGGCCGTGGCTGTGGGCAAGGATGAGTGAGCTCACACCTGGTGAGTGTGGTAGTGGAGAGGTGAAGACCTTGCTGTCTATGAACACTTGCAGGAGACCAGAGTCCCAGATTTTGGTTCTAGGTCAGAGGAGTGAGGTGAAGTCTGCAGCCCTGGGAGGGACTACAGGGAGGAAGAGTGTTTGCAGTGACAATATGGCTGGGGGCCCTAGCCATGGCTCACGGGTAGAGAGGCATCGCTGAGGTCAGACCCGCAGACCCAGAAAACAACAGTAAGAAAAGCCTGAAGCACCATCCCCTACACCTCAGGACTAGAATATAATAATAATAAGCCACTAAAAAAAAAAAGAGTAAGCAAAGGAGAAAGAATCCAACCATAGATAGCTACTATGGGGATAGAGAACATCTGGGTTTGCACTCAGAAGAAGATAGTGAAGTTAAAAAAGCCTCTCTTGCTTCAAAGAAAAATGTCAAATGGTCACAAGCCCAAAAAGAGTACTTGGGAAGAGCTTAAAAAGAACTTTAAAAATCAAATAAGAGAGATTGAGGAAAAATTAGGCAAAAAAAAAACATTCCAAGAAAATTATGAAAAGAAAGTCAACCAATTGGAAAAAAGAAATCCAAAAACTTAGGGATGAAAAATAACTCCTTAGAAGCTAGAAATGGGCAAGGGGAAGCTAATGACACCAACAAATAATAAAAACAAAATCAAAAGAATGAAAAATAGAAGAGAAAGTAAAACATCAGTAGAAAAACAACTGATCTGGAGAACAGATCAAGAAAAGACCATATGAGAATTGTTGGACTACCTGAAAGTTATGATCAAAAAGTCTAGATACAATACTACAAGAAATTAAGGAAAATTGCCCTGAAGTTCTAGAACAAGAGGGTAAAATAGAAATAGAAAACAAAATCCAATGATCACCACCTGAAAGAGATCCCAAGATGAAAACTCACAGGATTACAGGCAAGTTTCAGAGCTTCCAGATCTAGGAGAAAATGCTACAAGCAACAAGTAAAAAAAAAAAATTAAATGCTGTGGAGCTACAGTCAGGATAACACAAGATCCAGCGACTTCTACATTAAAAGACTGAATGGCTTACAACATTATATTTCAAAGAGCAAAGGAGCTGGGTTTGCAACCAAGAATACCTTACCCAATAAAGTTAAGTATAATTCTGAATTTTAAAAAAGGATATTTAATGAATTGAAAGACTTTCAGTTATTTGTGACAAAAAGACCAGAACTCAGTCGAAAATTTGACATGTAAAATCCAGGAGAAAAATAAGGTAAACATTAAAGAGCAATTATAAAGGACTCAATACGGTCAAACTGTTTGCTTCTTATATGGGAAAACGTTATCTGCACCCTTAAGAATGTTATCATTACTTGGGTAGGTTGAAAGAGCACATGCAGATAAAAGGCTTGGCATTGAGTTGATTATGATGGGATGAGTCTAAAAAATAAAATCAGGTAGGAGAGGTAAAATGGAGCAATGATAAGGGAGGGACTTTTAGAAGGGTGAGCAGATCAAGAAGTAGAAGGTTAGGGGAGAGGTTAAGGGAGGGATTCTTTCCAAGGGGGCAGAGTAGGTAGGTTGTGGTTAGAAGTAAATTCGAAGTGTGAGGAGAGATAGGGTAAGAAGAGAGGGTGAGAAGGATAACAGGAAAAATAAGATGAAGGGAAATACACAAATAGCATTTATAACTTTGTATGTGAGTGAGATGAACTCGCATAAAATGGAAATGGATAGCAGAATGGATTAAAAAATC